GTTCAGTGTGGGAACAAAGTCTATGTGCCGTGAGGGACTCTGAACGGGAGGGAATGAGCAGAAACACTCCCTCATTCTCCTGGTTTTACTTTTAATGGAAACATTCCATAGCACTGACACGTACTGTATCTCTGTCTCTCTCTCTCACACACACACACACACACAATGGAGAGTATCTAGAACGTATCAGTCTAAATATTTTCTCTGTAGAAGCACACATTTTTTGAAGAGGAAAAGATGGGTTACGTGGAACACAATAAATAATTGTGCAGTTTGGTGTGAAGAGAATGAGTTTGACTCGAGCGCGTTATTTTCCATTGTCATCTTTGTCATTTCATCTAAATCTATTGAGCTCAACAACCTTACTAAAGCAATGGAAAAAGCTGGAGAAGATTTCTTTTTTGTTTTCAGTCCACAAATGATTCTTTTGAACTGTTTTTTTTTAAATGATTCAATTGAACTTTTTTTTAAATGATTCAATTGAACCGATTCACAAAGCTTTTGTAAATTACTTGAGCAACACCATGTTACACCAGACGCACCGCGGCAAGAACCCATTATAATCAGTGATGCTGTCTACACTAAACGCAGCTCGGCGTGACACGACAAAACCCTGACAGTAAACTGATGCCCATTTCTATTTCTAACGTACTTCAACGCTACTTTGACATTACTTCTGACACAAAAGAACAAACGGTGGCGCCTCAAGCTGTTGGAGCACAGTGAGCCATACTGTAGCATAGTACTGTTGTGATGCTACGATTCAATTAAACAAACATATCCCAGTGGGTTCAATACTTATTTACATGCGTGTGGGTTTTGTTCGTCTCCGTTCACAGTAGATGTTGCTCCACATGAACTGTTATTATTTACATACATGGAGCGTCTCAAACTCAGTCTCTGCATATGCTGCGAGTTTAAATTGCTTATAACATTCATCTAGGAACACAATGTGCGCCATCTCATCAGATTTGTAAGATAAATCATGTATAAACCTACACCTACACAGGAGAATACATCAATATCTTTAGAAATATGCAAACTGTTCATCGCAAATTCAAAATAAAGGTTTAAACCCTCGCTCTGAGTTCGCATGTTTTGATGTCCACATGTTCTAGTTCAAGATATTACAGCGGCTGTAGCATTTCTATCATAAAGAAGTGGCAAAATTTTAAAGATTAAGTGAACATTTGAAATAAATGCCGTTTGGCCAATATTAAACAAGGATTTGATCTGCTGTAAAGTGTAACAACACTAAGCCAACATACATAAGGATGATTGTTAATATGTATTATATTATGTATTTTAACAGTGTTGTTCTATAAAACCATATGATTACTTGCTTTTGATTCTTTATTATTGCCTCGTTATTATTATACATGTATTTAAGTCATTTGAAGAGATCTGAAATGATGGTGTTGTCTGTAAAATAATGCATCTGTGTTGAAGCAATGAGTGTGCTGGCAATGGCCTGGCTGAATTCAATGGCTCTGCGGTTCGGTTTGGGCCTCAGATGCATGAGACACAAAGACATCCACACCTTCATTTTAATATTTTAAATGAGACCATTTCAGGTTCTGCTTTATAGTGGCTTGTTTCAACAGAAGCTCTTGTCCATCAGAAGCAAACCATTGCTACTTAAACAGGAAAAAGCACTTTTGTTCAGAATGAAATAATCAGATACTGCCGCTTACTGTGCAGTCGCCTATGAAAAATATGCAAAAAACATGTGCATTATGAAACTATATACCCCTTTCACACGGAGCGCTGATCTCAGAAAACTGCCATATCATTTCTAGTGCCTTCTGTGTGAACGCAAACGCGTCCTGGGATTGATCCCGGGATCGAACACCGAACACACATGCACACGATATTAAACTGTTTTACTAAATGAAGTTAGATTCAGGTTTTATATTAAACTGAACACATAACCTTTACACGTTGCACAAGATCTCTTCCTTGAATACAAAACCATCTGAGGTGCACATTTTGTTACTCTTTATTTAGGCGAGAGAATTCTTCTGTTTGCATTTCTAATATACACCTGCACTGGAACTCCTGACTCAGCATCCAGCGGACGAAACGGCTTCAAGAAATCACAACCCGTAATAAAAGTGCACAGGGTACAAAAACAGCTCAGGCCTGTTACATAACTGCATCTGTGTGACTTATATTCATTAAATGAAATGCTCAAAACAATCTGGTGTAACCAACACAAACCCTCAGCAGAACCTTTCCTGATTAAAGTTCACACTTGCCGGATCCGTTCCAATCGGTTTGTTGCTGGATGCAGAAAACAGGGATTAGCCATGAGGGAGATGAGCCGAGCAAGTGGCAATAATCTCCCTCTGAAGCCATCTCATCCTGTTAGCGTCATTTATCACCTGCTAAAACGATCCGCTAGACCAAGAGAACCCTGTTGATGTCCCGGGTAAAATCAACGCAAAGGCCCATAGGAACCGAACACCACAAAGGACTCTCTGCTATCGCGATTCGCAATCGTTTCTCCTCAACAGCAATGCCAGTAATGACGGCACCTTTGCTCTCTCCCGAGAAACCTATTCTTTACAGTCATTTGCGATAACTGGATAAGTATTTGTGAAAATAATTTAAGAGATTGTGTCACTCACAAAGTCGAATTTGTAAAGAATAATGTAAGGGGGAAAACAATCAATTAATATTTTAAAACTTGCATGCTTTTCTGGAAATCACAATTTTAAAATTCCCTCAAATCTTTTGGTTTTCCGTGATCATGGGAACCCCGAACGCCCCGTCTAGCGTTTCAGAAGATCTGTTTCTCAAATTATGCCCAGATTGTGAAGATGTGACGAACTATGATGAATGATACAGGCAAAATGACGACAAAATAAACATCTGAAGAAGGGACGTCAATTTACATGCATTCCTATAATTGATTGTTGTTTAAATTACCGGTCAATTAAGTTATCACGTTATTTAACCACTTGCTTAACCAACACAAAATAGGTGTCGTTTTAAAGCTTAGAAGCTTGTCTTTACAGTGAATATAGGGAATATGCCCATCACTTAACAAGTGCTTTAAATTTGCTGATATAATAGAAGTGTGTGTGTGTGTTAGAAGCTCTATTTTCATAGCGTGAAAAAATAACTGCTTTACATGAAAATGTGTCATATATCGTTGAAAAGGTCTCAAGTAGCAGAATACAACAAGCTTATTTCTTTCAGTTAGAGACCAAACCTAACTAAGTATTTGTATTAAAAAATGTGCCACAGACACACGTGTAAACAGTAAACACATGACGCTTTTACACCATGTTTTTGTTTGTAACTTCGTACAACATTTGTAAACCATAGTGGATCACAAAACTTTATTTAGAGCAGCTCGTCTTGAACGGGCCCAAACAAAACATCAGACAATGCGTAGATCATGACATGCTGCAGCTATAGGACTTCCGGGATCGGATCGCGTCTCAATCACGACGCAGGGTTTTCCAACGTCTTCCAATGGAGACTGGATCTCGGTGTGGTGACTGGGAATAGTGGGTAGAGACGATGTGTAGAGACCAATCAGACATTGTCTTAACAGCTGAAGTGCGCTTGGAAAGAAAATGTCATCAAGCAAGAATAAATGTGGCCACACGTTTACAGCAAGTCGACAACGGTCTCAAAGGTCGGCATGAAACTGAAGTTGCACCAGTCTTTCCTTCCCTATTGTCACGTATATCAGAGTGAAACTGCTTTTGGAACAAGACAAAATGTAGGGCGGGACTTGATTTTGTCCGTGGGGAATTGGTGGATGGTTGAGGTTTGCTATTGGTGGATCTCATGTGAGTGACAGGTTATTGTCCCGCCCTCGCGCCAGTGAACACGTCACCAGAGAAGAGATGTCAAAGAGGGAGGGGAAGACATTTTGATTATGATTATGAGGGCACATTGATTAAAAAAATAATAATGAGATAAATAACTTATAATAAATACTGCAATATTCTATATATATATATATATATAAAAAGAGAACTGTTGATTTTGATTTCACAGTGACTAATTGTTTCTATTTCTCCAAATTAATTTTTACAAGGAAACTTGATACATCGATGAAAATGAGAGAGAGAGAGAAACATACAAGTAATGACATTTCCCTCTGGGTCCATTCTGATCGCATTTCTCACAATCCCATGACAGAGGATGAAATGCACCCATTCATTCCTCTATCATGAGTTTAAATGGGCCTAAACCGAGAGTTAAACCCATATCAGACGTTTGCGATCATTGCGGAACTCGAGTATCAGGACTGACTCCGATCATTACACTCTCAAAGCCTTTAACACCACTGACAAACTAATCTGATCACTTAGTGAAAGGATCTGCTCACAGTTATCACCAGGTATCAACAGAAACCCTGCTTTTACCTACAGAACCTGTTCAGAGCAGGAAGTGATTGTGAAACAAAGGCATGAAACGTTAATCAATCTGCGTGATGGCACAATGACGGTATATCACTCATTAAACACAATAAACGAGAGATTGCAGCAGATATGCCTCGTAAACCACACTGTCCTTTCCACAGGAGACGGAATAGAAAACAGGATGTGTATGACTGAGAGACGGTGGTTAATGTAACGTTACTGCACCTGAACATTTAAACCTCATATGTGTCGATATCGTTCAAATAAGACGTTTTATGCCCATTCGAAAACATTAAGCCTATTAAAATGTGATGTTTTGTGACACATACATGGTAACGTTATAGCTGCCTAAACACAGTACACATACTCACGTCTAGTCACAGTCATACTTAATTCGCTACATTGCGAAAACCCGCTGGTTTGTGAATATGTACACAACAAAAACAAAGCCTGAGTCATGTAATGCTACAGAAAAACACTGGGTTTCACACGCAGTGCGAACTAGAAAACAAATTAGCGTCCCTCGCCGTTCTTAGCATTATCTGGCTAACAGTGAGGAAGACAGAAAACACTGAGGCGAGACGCTGAAGGACAAATAAAATGTCTGGTACTCACCTTAAACTGAACCTTTTCGTTATTTTCCTTTCATTTACGAGGGATAGAAATCGTTCAGCTAATCCATGAAGGTTAGTTCACGACTGGAGACACGGAAAAACATTACAAAACCCCCAGGAAACCCAGCGCTTGATGCAGGGAAGCCGAAGAAAGCTGCTGCTGCTAGCTGCGCGAGCTCTGCTAATGCATTCTTCACCTCAGCGCGCGACGCGGAAAGTTGCCCACAGCTGCCTGGAAGTTTTCTTGCTGATACAAAATAACACGGTTCGACGAGACGATGAAATTACAAAAAAGTGTCCTTATAATAAAAAGAGCGACCAAAAGGGTCGCCGGGATAATTGGTTTACATTGGGGAGCGGAGAAGCAGTCATTGAAGTGATGGAGCAGTGAAGCAGCGCTGGATAATCTGCACTCTGCACTACAGTTGTGCTAATGGGGATGTTCGATTCACCAGCGAATCGGTTCTTCTGAACCGGTCTTTTCAACGATTCGATCGACCCGATTCTGTATATTTTCATTCGACTGGAAAAATCAGAACGCTTAGTAATCGTTATGGCTGTGTGTGGACTTCCCTATTTTCATCTCATAAAATAGAACGATTATTAAAATGTATTATTAAAACGGTTGTAAAAAAAAATCATAGACACAATGAAATTGTAATATTTATTTTACTACAAAAGGGAACCCTTAAATTGTCGCGTGGGGATTTCTGGGAAAAGTGTGTGATACATCGAACGAATCAGTGAATCAAATAGAAACCGGGTTTGTTGAGGGGTTAAAACAAATCGTTCGAACGAACCGACTAGCTAAAATGAATTAAAACTACTTATTTGATTATTTAAAATCATAGACACAGTGAAATCGTAATATATATTTTACTACAAAAGCGAACACTTAAATTGTCGCGTGAGTATTTCTGGGGAAAGTGTAGTGTGATACATTCAACGAATCAGTGAATTACATGGCAACCGGCTTGTTGGAATGAATCGTTCGAACGAACCGACTCGCTAAAATGAATCGTACTTCTCACCACCGATGCTAAAGCTGGTGGGGGCCTCCGTCGTCGAACCCCATCAACACAGAGCAACAGCTGATAGGCGTACAGTTTAATCCAATGGAAAATGTGAGTCCCTGGAAACGAATAATTTTCTCCCAATTGAAGGCAACGGGAGGGAGGAAGAGCCTCGATCACGTTTCCCTCGCAAGGTTGGCTGCATGGTTTGTGCTGCGTTATAATGTTACAACGGTAAAGTGTTCGTCATGAAAAACGAGTTTTGTTATTAGCATGGCTTTAACTCTACGAGGGGCATTGGTAAAAATGTCTTACAAAGTGCTCGTAATTTTTATTTTTTAGAAAATGGTAATATACCAGAGAGGTAGTGGTATTTAGTCTCTAGTTAATATGTTATACATGTAATAGTGATAAATAGTGAAAAACTGATAAACTTAAATGTCTAAAACCGTTCTATTCAACACTGGCTCGTTTAGAGTGCTATCGGTTGATGTCTGTCTCCCTCTAGTGTTCACTGGTGTTACTGTCACTTTAAATCCTCAATGACCTGGGTCTCTTTGTGGATACGGCATAAAACGAGGCATTATAGCCTAGGTCTGCTTTATAATAACGTGTGCAGCACCATATTACTGTATTTACATACTTATTTACATACTGTTATGATGCTTATATTGCAAATACATTATTCATCATGGAAATACAGATTTATATTTTGCACTTTACCCTGTCATTTCACTTAACTTAAAGTTCAGCAAAATGAGCCATTGTCTCTTTGAAGTAAGCTTTGAAGTTAACCTAATATTTTATTTATTATTTCCCCATAAAAATAATAATTTGAGACCGCACAGAGTCAGACCTTGAAGACTCTTCATGTGTGATTCAGTTTGCATAAAAGCTTATAGCTACCTTCATTCAACTGTGTAATTGATTATTAATGAAACAAAACACCAGCAAGAAATACAACTTAAAATGTATACATAACATTTTGTTCTGTATATCGCTACAATTAGAATGAAAACTAAGGATGCATGTGTCATTGGATCTCTATATATTCAGAAAAGTTGCTTTCCTGTAGTTCACAGTCCGATGTCAATGAGAGTTTTGTTCTGTAATTGTTTGGGCGAGTCCTTTACACTGGAAAAACGCATCCTGGCACGGTTCACGACCCAGGAACGTTTTCAGCATATCCATGCCATCCACTGAACCTCCTGTTTCCAGGACCACGCGCCTGTATTCCCGGCCCACCTGCATGTCAAAACACACACACAGTTATCAAACTGAAACATAATCAAAACATATTACATTAATGACCAGATGGTGTCATTTATACACTGGAATTTCACTAGTCTAATCTAATCTAAATTATGACAATGAAACGAGCCCTGTCTGTAAAGCTGCTGAAATCACATATTGTGAAAGCGCTCAACAAATAATCTTCCTCTGAATGCAACACACACTCATCCTTCAACAATACTATGACTAACTATGACACAACACTCACTCATTTACACAACAACTGTATGAACAATCTATTCTCAGCTAGTACTATTCCTGAGGTATCTATTATTATAAATAATATGTATCTCTTCTTGGCAGATAATCCCTCTATATAGCAGTTTGCAATGACCTCACATGTGCGTCACTCTTGATAAGAGTCATGCCCTAAATGGAAATATGAATGTGGAAATGCAGTCATGTGTTAACTATCAACTGCTCTGATGACTCAGTTCTCTATTAAAATGTGCTGTGCCATGATGAGACAATCTAAACATCAGTCACATGTTAATTCTTAATTCACTCTGACCAATGGAAAGCTGGAATAACAAGAGTGAAACCTTTGGATTCAAGATGCCCTCTTTTTTGAAGCGACTGAAGAAGATGTCCATGGAGTAGACTTCGCTCCACAGGTAGCTGTAGTACTGGCCGTCGTATCCTCCGGCGAGATGACTGAAGCTAGCCGTCATGTTCGTGCCTGCGGAGAACACGCACAAAGAAATATGAAATCAATGCTTAAAGGTGCAATGTGTAATATTTCTGGGGATCTATTGACAGAAATGCAATATAAGATCCATAACTATGTGTTCAGTGGTGTATAAAGACCATACTCAATGAGCCGTTATGTTTTTATTAGCTTAGAATGAGGCATTTATATCTCCATAACCGCGGGCACCCCCTTCTATGAAGGTCGACATATTGTGACGTCATGTTTCTACCGTAGCCGAACGCGAACAAACAGGCCGCGTTTCGTCACTACCTTGAAAGAGAAGCCGCAGAAAGCTAGAAGCTAGCCATAGACACCGTGAGTAGTGACTTTTCCCTTGTCCGTGGTGTAAAATATGTAGTTGGATTGTTTCATGTAACTTAGTTCTTCTCCCTCGCTGTGTTATGACAATCAGCTGATCAGTACTATTGACCGTAAAACAGTAACGTTACAGGAGTCACCAACCCGTCGATCGCGGTCGACGAGTCGATCTTGGAAGCATTTTAAGTCGATCGCGAAGAGTTTTCAAAACCAGAGAAAAAAAACAATATTTGTATTCATTATTATTTATTAATTTGTGTGTAGTAAATGGTGTCTGGGGGATGCGGAGGCGCGCGCGCTGTTACAATCATGTCATTTTTGCCGCGCGCACCTCTGCGCTCATGCGGACGCGTCAGGTTTAAACAAGGCTTTACGCTTTAACCAGCTCAGCCACAGTCACAGCTCATATTAGCCAGCTAAACTTTTACTACCCTGTTAGAAAAAATATATAGTTGCATAGTTTCATGTGGTTCTTCTCCCTCGCTGTATTATGGGTTTGCTATGTGGGGAGAAATGTGCTGGTTACGTTGTGAGACAATCAGCTGATTACTATTATTATATAATATATTAAGACCCTTGATCCTCACCTGACTATGGCTTTGTAAACTTTATCCATGATGTGGTTTATAATGGACTGTGGTACAGAAACTTGGCTTATTCTCTGCTGTCTCAGACGACGATATGTTTGTCTCGTTTTAGCCACCGTAGCTTCTTCGCGCTAGTGGGCTGAGCCCTTAGTGCAACTCGCAACCGAACCGCTAGATGCCGCTAAAAAATACACACTGCACCTTTAAGAGGCTCCAAGTCTTTTGCTTTGAAAATATCATAACATCTTCTAAATAAATACATTAGGGTTGGTAATCTTTTGGTGCCTCATAATTCGATTTAAATCGATTCTCGAGGTCATGATTTGATTAAAAATCAATTCTCGATTTGATATATGCATAGATTTGATTGTAGTTCACTACATCATTATTACATTGATCTCATTGAATTAATTGTAAACCTTGAAATTTGTTTTTTCTTCTCATTTTAGTCAACCCAATATAACATATGAAATGACATGCATTTGTGCAAAAACCTCCCAAAGACAGTAATACATGATTAATGTATTACTTTATTGTTTTCATATAACTACTGCCACACAACTAGTGGCTGTTGTGTGCAATTACACAAATCTAGAAGACTTCGAACATATCATATATTAGTGATAGGCTTTTTTAGACAGGAAAATTTAGAAAATGAAAAAGAAGAATTGGGGAGAATCAATAAATTATTAATAATTTACTAACATTGTAATCATGTCAAAATATAACTGTAGTCTGATTATGAGTATCTAAAAATGTAATGTAATCTTTTTTAAATTTATTTTTTATTTTGAACATGTAAGAAAATAAAAAATATATATATACAGACATGCATACATATATTAAATTTAATTAAAATAAAAAATTATAATAAAATTAAAATAACGGCTATATAAAATCATGTACTTCTCAGCACAATCTTCCAAAATTATTGTAAGTAATTCAAATTAGAATTTCTCATGTTCAAAAAGGAGTAGGAAGAAGTTCATAACAAACTTTTCAGGTCCTACCCCCTATCTCTATCTTTATCTCTATCTTTTAATTAAATACAAAACAAATGGATGCTTCTCATTCATTTCCATCTATCTATAGCAAATCAAATAATAACACCTCCATACTAAACTACATATGTAGATCAAGGAACCTGTATACAATACTATCACCTCGAGTCCTTTTCGTATCCATTTAATATCTTCAGTTTAAATAGTCCTTTAAATTTACTCATTGTTGAACATGATTTCATCTCTTCACTGCAGCTGTTCCATACATTCACTCCTTTGGTTGCAGAGGCGGCGCCAGGGGGGGTCTTGGGGGGTCAGACCCTCCCAAAAAATGCTTTGACCCCCCATTTGACCCCCCACCCCCTTCCTGATTAAAAAAATATATATCCGGGATAAATATTTAAAAATGTTTATCTTCAAACTACGCAGAACAATAATAATTAATAATTTATTCGACGTACAAAATATATAAACATAAGAATCACGTTCCCTCTAAGCTGCGCGCGTGCGCGGTCGTGCACTTCTG